ATTTTGATATTATAGCAACAACAGCTTACCTATAGCAACAACCCCAAGCAATTAAAAAAAATTCATGTTTTATGTGTACCTTTTTCAAGTAGATTGCCTTTGTAGACACAAAGGTTTTCCCCACCACAGTGCTGCTGATAAACCTTTATTTCATCTCGGAAGTCTGGGTCATCATAAGATAGGTGCACATTTTTCCCCAAATAGATCATTGTAATAGCTGCATTACTATGCAGTGATGTTTTATGAATCCTTTTTGAATCCTAGAATAAACAACAACAAAAACTAGTCCTATTAACTAATTACCTTCTAATCAGAGTTCTTACTCTCACATGAGCATGAAGAATATAAAAGGCTGTTTTTATGTACCTAATAGCAAAATCTGTATAAAGTGTCAGTTTACACTGTGCACAAGTCAAGCCCATTACAAATTAAATTCCTCTGAACAATTATAAAATATACATTTCGGCTTTGTATTTTTAAGGTAAATGCTGGTAAATTTTGACAAAAAAATGCCAATGATTCTAAGAGGAAATTGCTTTTGGCTCTTTTAGCTGGTTCTCAAATAAAAGTTCAAACAGATGACATAAAAATTGGTAACATCCTTTTGTTCTGATTTAAATTGACATCTATTATGATTTAGCAATAGTTTTTATAACTGATTGCTTTATCTTTACAATTAATCACTGACTACCTATCCTTCCTTGGGCTTGTTCTGAAAGGGAGATACATACACATTTGATTCCTTCTATGGTCACCCTGAGAATTAGAGATCGGGTATCTTATGTGCCTGGGAGTATCCATTTTCACAGGAGGCATTCAGTTCAATGAAAAACCAATATTATTAATATTGTTTTAAATATCAAAACAATATACTCAAGAAAATTTTTTAAATTACCTTATAAACCTATTTGTATTCTATGGCATTGCCTAGTTTACATTATTTATAAAATATGCCATAAACTTATATGTCAGAGATTTTTTTTAAATATCAAAAACCAGTTGGCTATAAATATGTGGGTTGATTTCTTGGTTCTCTATTCTGTTCCATTGGTCCAGGTGTCTGTTTTTATGCCAGTACCATGCTGTTTTTGTTACTATAGATTTGTAATATAGTTTGAAGTCAGAAAGCGTAATGTCTCTGGCTTTACTTTTTTTGCTCAGGATTGCTTTGGCTATATTCTAAGTGAAACAACCCGGGTATGGAAAGAGAAATACTGCATGTTCTCACTCATAACCAGGAACTGAATCCATAAATAAACAAATGAACAATAAAGAGAAACAGAGAGAAAGAAAGAAACAGGAACCACAGTAATAAGTTGAATTTTTAGATAACTAGAGGTGGAAAAGGGGAGGGGGGAAGCGAAGAGGGCTAATGAGGAATTGGTCAATGGACACAAAGAATGATTGCATATTCTAATGATGAATAAGCTAACTATACTGACCTAACCACCACACATTGTACACAATTATTGAAAATCAATGTTACACCCCACATGTATGTATAATAAATTATCTACAAAAACATGTCTAGGTATTGCCTCCCAATTTATATTCTGAAGTGTTTTTATAATGGTGAGTAAGCATAGTGTTTGCTTAACCTCTTAGTAGGAGGAGGAGGAAGGAAAAGCAAGAAAAGGAAAAGGAGGAAGAGGCAGAGAAATTGGAATGGCTAGGAGGGTGGGAGACTAAGAGGGCCTAGTAAGTATATTACAGGCGTCTAGAATTGTGCACAGGCCAGGCTTTCTAATGAACTTCACTTTTCCAAAAATCAATTTTTAGCTAAATGAAAAACATGGAGAGACCAATTGTCAGTGGATCCAAGGCAGTGATTTGAGTTTGATTTGGTTGAATTATGGACGCATGGGAAGCATGCTTTTGGGTTTTTTTAAAGAATAACAAAGATGCCACAAAAATTTCTGAAGGAACTACTAAAATATTTTCATCCCCAAAACTCTCCCCTTCCACCTCAGAGGATTTTTTTTTTCATTTAACTCTATTTCTCTGAAGCAAAAACCAGAATTAACCTTAAGATAATGAAATTCTGCAAACAACAGGGGTGCTGGGGAATGAACAAGATTTAAAATTTGAG